GGATCAGAAAATCAGTTAAAGAACAAGTTCGTGTGTTAGTGGTTTGTGTGCCCGGATTTTTGGGATTTTAACAGAAACTGCAAGTAGTTTTAAAATTTCATTATTTTGTTTAATTGTAATGGAACGCTTATACGAGGTAAACGGACCTTGTAGTCCATTTTAAATGTTAGATTTTTATGAGTATTTAATTTGTGTGTTTAAAATAAATTTTGTTTTTTGTGAGTACATGTAAATCTTGTGTTTATTCCAGCCCTTTAACGATCCAGATACATACATGTCTTATGCTCAATTATAATTTATTTTGTTGATCAGTACCCAAAAGTTTTCAAGACGTCTACAAACTTTGTGTATCGCGGCCATTATTTGCCTTAGAATTTGGAATTTGAAGTCGAGATTAAAATTTTCCATTGTGCCGGGATTCGGATGTGTCCGGGGAGGATTTTAAAGAGAGAGGTTTAAGGTGTTTTGCCACCAATATCAATAATAATATTTTTTTCTAAAGTGCACCTCTGCAAAACTAGGAAACCAATCAAATTTCTGGGGGTATGGGGGTGGTACGGAGAAACACAAGGGATGGGAGGCCGAAAACTTGGATTCTTAACCACCAGATGACTCTATGACATTCAAGAAAAATTGGAAGTACTTCTCATTTTGCAAGTTCAAAGTCTCTATCCCTGGACTAAAGATATTTGAGTATTTTTCAGAGCGTTCGAAGGCTTTAAAGAACAATCAGGCACTTTCTAAATCCCGGCAGCGCTTCAAAACCTTAAAAACAATGGAAGACGACTTTATAAGCTTCACGAAAGCCCTATAAAATATCTAAAGATCTGAAGAAAGCCCTCAAAGCGCGTATTGGTGTTTTTGTTTACCTTTTTGTAACCTCTGTGACAACAAGGGGCCCTTTTGTGCATTTCAAATAAGGTACCCTGTATTAATCACATGGTTTCCGTTATGTTTACCTCCCACAATGGCCTAATAATTTCACTTTTAAAAAAATGAGCAGTCGAACACTGTATTTCAAATTTTTTCTTAATATATGTATTCTTCTCCCATATGGATAGTATAAAAAATTAGAACTTCTTTGAGTATCTTAAAGAAAGTAAACAGTTTTACAGCTGACATATCACACAATCCATTCTGTAAAGATAAATGCAAATTAACTCCAATGAAACTATGAGAGGAACAATTGTTTTGAAGACTACCATAAATTTACGCACTTACTTTACGACTTTCGACATATTGAGCCTAATGTACTTATCTTCACTTTATAGTTTGAATATTTCGCAAAACTTTTGAAAATAATTTCTCGCATGACACAAGTCGCGGGGAGATTTCTCAGATAGCGCCAAATAAACGTACCTATTTATGAATAAACAAAACAGGCTTTCATTAATCATACACAATAAATCTAGTTAAGGGGAATATCTTAAAATGTAATGGCTATAAACTAATGTAAGATGTCTCGGAAATGCCATACTAGTAAGAAATATAATGACGTAAATGCAACACCACACCGTTACTATCGTGGGTGCTTTGCCGCATATTAAAATCCAAGAATTCCTTATTACCATGCAGGTCAATTTCTGTTCAGATTGTTTATAAATTTACAAGCTTTGAACAATAATTAATAATAATCACTTTTTGCCCTTTCTATTCCTTCTAAACGTAAACGTAGATTTTTAGATGATTTCTTTTCAAACAGAAACAATTGCTGGAAAACTCCAAACTTTTAAACAATCAGGAATTTTTCTGAAAATCTTTTGTCCTTGAATACCTTTTTTGATTTCGTTGAAACCGAAATTTTATTAGAAATAGTATATTATTATATATCAAGGGACTGAAGTGTGTGTTTTAATCCCCAAGATGAAGATTGTTGCCCGAAACGTAGTTGAGGTGAGGGATTAGGACATTTTAAAATTTTAAACGGGGCCCTCGTACACACTTGGACGAAATAAACGAAATAATTTGTTATTACACTTATATGTAGACAAATTAAAGCGTTTCAATCCTTTGGAAGAAGAAAGCTTATTTCAATGTTTGAAACTCCAGGTCTGAAGTTAGACGTTTGAAGTATTAACTTGACATTTTGACTTTAATACTACGAAGTTGCATTGCAATTCAGATCTAAGCCCTATCTCTGTAACCTTTTGAGGACAGAGGAGTAAGGGGGAAATTATGAAATTATAAAATGGGAAGGGATTTATTTTTTAAAAGGCAGTTACCAATTAGAGTTGCTTGTACGTCCTTCACACGCAATCTACTGAAGAATAGCGTCCTACCTTAATGCGCAACGTTTTGAAAATAGTTATAGCGCACACGGACGGATGGACGGACAACATTATAAAACTATAAAGGATCTGAAGGTTCTTAATAAAACTCTGGTCTGAAATCTTTCGTTTTTGCGCTACGTCCCAGGTCGTTCATAATTTTGGACTTTCTGTCCGTCAATCCGTCCGTTCGTCTCGCGAACGGTTTGGAATTTTGCAATTCTGTTTTCAGTAATAGGTAGACAATGATCAAGGGACTAACTGATCTTCAGCATCCACCGTTGGACCTGAATATAGGGAAGATTTCTGAGAATCTCCACGGTTAGACGGTGGGCGGAATCAGTTACAAAAGTAACTCCTCTTCTTGTTTGTCGAGTAGACGATGAGGGTGGTTATCGGTATTTCGAAATGCGGAACTGGGTCAGAGTAGAATTGCGGGTGTAGCTTTTGTTTGTTGTGTTTAAAAAATGTATTTAGTTTCTTGTACTATTAACCAATGAATTCAATGTAACAATTTGTATTTATTTACATCTTGCGTAAAATATTTGTTATTGAAGCAAGGCGTTTTGTTTTGAGTATCGCTTTCTTAATCATGTTTGTTTGTTATACTGCACAGGTCATTATACCTTTATATTGTTTATTAAATATTTATTTCTGTATTCACGCTGAAGTTTATTATAATTGTGATGTTAATGTGCATAGATGCATTTTGATGTTTTTTATGTACATGCAATTTACCATTTTCCGATTTGTTTTACCTAAATTGATCGTAGATTTGGGTAGTGTGTTTTGTAGTGAATTCATTGATCACGTTTCGCACTTTTATTGTATTTATGATGGCTCTTGTGTCTCGTTCTTGTTGATTTACTGCAATAGATTCGATTACCTGATTTTATCGTACAATTTGAAATGTCTGTTTGTGTTTTCTCTTGTATTTTGTTGCCGTACATTAGTTATTTCATGTATTTGTGTGGGCTATGCCGGAATTTTTGTCCCGAAGAAGGTTTTTCCCCTGGTGACGCCTTGTTGTGTGCGTAACATATTTATTTGTTCTTGTCTTTTCTTACGCGCAATATTCTGGATTTTATTCAATTTCCCTCCCGATTATATTTCACGTCCCAACACATAAAAAAACCGATTACAAGTAGCCATCTACAATATTCCACATCGAGCTGCCTGCTCCCGAGATTCAAAAGTGCCGCGAAAAGTCTGTCGTTACTACTTGAAGGTTCGGTGGCTCTGCTCGTAGGTTTTCCCCAGAGTTACCAATTGAACTATAGGGTAAGTCCATCGACATATAATAAATGGACTGCACGTGCCAATGACAAGCGCAAATACTGCAGGTGAGAGAGAAGGGAAATCTAAAAGGGCAAGCTGTCTCTTACGGTTACGCATCTGATTGGTTCTTTCAGTTTAATTTGAATGCGATCAACAGAAGCTTGCCTTCTTAGATTCCCCTTCTCTCTCTCACCTGCAGAGTCCGCGCTTATCATTGGCACGCGCAGTCCATTTATTATATGTCGATGGGTAAGTCACGATTGCAGTGCCGAATTGGGGGACCCCTAGGATTATTACAACAGATACGGCCGGTATCATAAAGCCACACTTAACTATTTTGTCAGCTAACAATGTGATTTTGAAAGAATAACATCATTCTTTGCAAAAACATCCAATCAGATGCCTTAGCAACATCTTCTTTCGGTATTTTCCCGGAATACAAAAGGAACATCAGCTCACGGATGCAATTTTACTTCCACGTTTGGAACACCACATCTTTCTTCGAAAATTGATGCATATTTTTTGAAAATGTCTTAGTGATTGCATTTATGCCTACCCAAGAGCGAATTGCTTGCGGCTATCTATTAAGGCTGATTCCGATTCCACGAATCCAGATCCTTTCAAGCAAAGCATCATGCCGTCCTGGCACTATAAACAGATCAACCTCCTCTCCTCCTAATCCTGTTGCTTTCTTGAGGACGCCATCAAAATCCTCGAGATTTGTGTCCTGCAGTAGTTGCTTACGTATACAATTTAAACGCACTTGGTTGCCACAAGAGCGAAGGTTACATTAATTATGTAATATTATGCCTTTCGTAATTCTTTATTACACAAATATTTATATGGAGACGAAATAAACCAATCAGTTTAGTGATTGTGTGAGGAAAACAAACTAAAGGTCTATAGACGGTTATGCCTATAAATTGCTCAAGAGTACTAAAATGAATACTGTTCCATCATGAAAGCCGTAATAATATGTTTACTTCTTCCTTTGGCACTTGGCTTTGTAAGTACAGTGTATATTGCTTGTAAAAATGGGAATTATTATTACCATGTTACAATTTAAGCATAATTTCAATACAAAATTGTTTTAGAAATTCGATATTCCAACGGAAACAATGCTTCGTTGGGAACACCTGATCGAGCCTTTTAAGCTAGGATGCATACAAGAAAGCGGTATTGATTACGATGCAGGACTTAACGTGTTGTTGCGTATGCAACTTCCAGACGATGAGAATGGCCAATGTTATTTGAAATGTCTTGCCGAACGCGTAGAGATTTACGACGGGAAAAGTCACAATTTTATTAAGGAAAGAGTAATTGAGAAACTTGGTACGACGGAAGAGATGTTCGAGGAATGCTTCGCGACTTTTCCGCACACGGAAGATTGTAAGATTGTGCACGCTGCAGCACAATGTATTGTGAGCAAATTGGCAGTACCTATAGTTTAACACTAGAATTCATCCATTGAGGTTCCATAGGAATGCTTTCTTAGTACTGAAGGCTATTTGGAAGAGTCGGGGTGCATTTGGAGTTAAGTTTCTTTTGGGAATTTCCTTTTGATGAACACAGTGCGTCGTTTCATTATGGAACTGTAAATGTAAAAATTAGTTTGTAGTTTAATGGTATCAAAATCATCACCAATTCCTATGAATGAGTTGAAAATTCTTTTGGATGTTTAGTTATAGCTTTTGAAAAAAAAACCTTCAATGTGAATTGTGAAAGTTTTTTATCACTGACGCATTGAAATTGGTTGCCTGAGATATTAGCAATAAAACAGGTTAAAGGTCTATTTGATCAAAACACTTGGTCACTCTAAAACATTTAAGCCAAGAATACGGCATGGCCAAAGTAATAATTCTGTGTCTAATTCTTCCTTTAACATTTGGCGTTGTAAGTACCTCAAAATAATACTTTTGAAACTACGTGAGTGTCTATTTTAGAAATTTAACGTCGAAACCGAAACACTCTTACGGTTGGAAGCTCAGATAATTCCGTATAAACTAGGATGCATATTTGAAAGTGGAGTTTCCTTCCCTATAGCACTTGATTACAATCTGTTAAGGAAAAAACTTCAGGACAACGAAAATGCCCAATGTTACCTAAAGTGTCTCGCTAAACGATTAGGGTTTTACGACTCTAAGAATCGTACATTTGTTAAAGAAACCGTAATGGAGGAAATGGGCGCAACAGAGGAGGTATTCCAGGAATGCTCTGTACGGACTGAGGACGCAGACGACTGTAAGATAGTATCCACAGCTGGAGAATGTATTTTACAAAGCATGCAACTACACTTTGGTAATCTTCAATTGTTAAAATAAACAAAAATTATAAAATGCGTATTTTCTTGGAGAAAACTGATATTGTTCCCCATTATCACGAACTTAAGGTTAGGGGTTAAGGCTATAAATTAAACTTCCAAATTATAAAAACAAAAGTTGCGGCATAAGTACCAGTTAAAAATGAAAATCGTTAGCGTCGCACTTTGCCTGGTTCTTCCTTACGCAATTGGCTTTGTAAGTATGCCATTTCTACTGATCTATCAATTCCCGCCGTTTTAGACATATAACGTTCCACCCGACAAATTACGTTATTGGGACAACCTCATAGAACAACACAAGCAGGAATGCATGGAGGAAAATGGGATTGATCCTAAAGTGGGACAAACATTTTTGTTAAGTCAAGAAATACCAGACGAGGAGAATTATCGATGTTATATGAAATGTCTTGCTAAGGCTACAGGGATTTACGATACGACTAATCATGTTTATCTGAAAGAGAGTACAATGACAAATCTTGGTATAACAGAAGAGATATTCTATGAATGCTTCCAGCGGGATGGAGAAGATGACTGTGACAAGGTACACTCGTCCGTAGAGTGCCTTATGCAGAAATTCATAGTTTGACTTGTTCAAATTAAAAATGTTTTAGTGTTTCCGTTTCTTTTTCTTAAACAAACTTTAGAGGGTGGTTGTGACAGATTAAGGGTATACATCCTTGCTTGTAGGAAACTCTAGATTCTCTATTTTGAATTACGATAGGAGCGTGGACAGGGTCCAAGCGTACCAAGGCCTCACATTCGTGCCCTTTGTATGTGGTGTGCCGTCTTATCGTCTATGTCACATGCTCTACAAGATGATGATTCAACCAAACCGACCCGGTGGATGTTGCTTGTAAGAAGCTATAATTGTTTATAATCGGACTATCCACTATCGCAACTAAATCATCATCCTGTCTGTTTATCATACAAAGTCTACAATGACTCATAAATATTGCCTATCACAGCTTCTAAAGTGAAAGATTATTGAAACATTGCTGTTGCATTCTTTAATTAAAAACAAGACATAATCTTGATCGACATAATTGTCTCTGTCTCTGGAGTGACAGGTTTTTTTGGAACAGTAAGGTTTTTTTAACAGATCTCAAGAGTTTTAAAACAAACTTCAAGAGCTGCCAAGAACCATAAAGAGTCTTTTGGAGCAATTTCAAAAGGACTTTGAAGAAGAAGGCTTCGGAGCCTTAAATACCTTAGAAGGCTTTTAGTAAATAATTTGAGTATTTAAGAATACATTACGTTCTTTAAGAGATGAGCCTTTAAGTCAGTTAATATATTTACTGATGTATCGGTTAATGGGTTTATACAAATACATGGATTTCACTTAATTCTAATTTAGTAAAGACTCGTTTACAGATTTTTTTGCGCTAGACAACTATGACTCATGCTTCCTAATTTTACCACTAATTTTCAGTACTGATTTATGGATGCTATTGTTACGTAATTACTGATGAGCGCATTGATAATATGTAGTCTAATTAATTTTAATTTAAAGGTTGGTCTACAGAATTTTTGCGGCAATTAATTACCGACTGATGCTTTCTAATTTTACCCATAAATTGAGGATGTAATTATTACGTAATTTCTGTTGAGAGCGTTACAAATATGCGGTCTAATTAATTTTAATTTAAAGTCTGCCGTACATAATTTCGTGCGCCAATTAATGAACGACTAACGCTTTCTAATTTTACCCCTAAATTTTAAAATTAAATTTAGGATGTAATTGTTACATATTTCTGTTGACAGCGTTACAAATATGCAGTCTAATTAATTTTAATTTTTCGACTGATGCTTTTTAATTTTACCCCGAAAATTTTAAGGCTAAATTGGGAATAATATTGTTACGTAGTTTCTGTAGTACAAATATGCAGTCTAACTAATTTTAACTCGAAGGCTCGCCTACAGAATTTTTTGCGCAAATTAATTATCCCCTGGTGCTTTTTAATTTTACTCCTAAACGTTAGGGTTAAATTGAGAATGTAATTGTTACCTAATTTCTGTTTAGAGCACTACAAACATGCAGTCTAATTAATTTTTATTTAAAGTTGGCGTATATTAATTTTTGACTGAAATTAATTATCAACTGATGCTTCTTAATTTTACCCCTAAATGTTAAGGCTAAATTGGGGATGATATTTTTACCTAACTTAGGTTGAGAACATTACAAATATGCAGTCTTTTAATTTTAAGTTAAAGTCTGGCGTGCATAGTTTTTTGTGGCAATTAATTATCGACTGATGCGTTCTAATTTTGCTCCTAGCCTTTAGGTTAAATTAAGGATGTAATTGTTACCTAATTTCTGTTAAAAGCATTACAAATATATAGTCTAATTAATTTTAATTTGAAGGTTTGTGTACGGAATTTTCACCTAATTCCTGTTGAGAACATTGTCTAATTAATTTTAATGTAAGGGCTGGTGTACAGAATTTTTTGCGCCATTTAATTATCTACTGATGCTTTCTAATTTTACCGCTAAATTTTAAACTTAAATTGACGACATAATTGTCACCTAATTTCTGTTGAGAGCATCGTAAATATGCATTATAATTAATTTTAATTTATAAGCTGGCGTACAGAATTTTTTGCACGAAGGAATTATTGACTGATGATTTTTTAATTTTACCCCTAAATTTTAAAGTTAAATTGAGTATGTAATTTTTACCTAATTTCTTGTGCGCCATTTAATTATCGCCTGATTCAAGATTGAATTGTGGATGGTATTGTTATTTAATTTCTACTGAGGGTATACATGCACTCAAATTATCGTCTTTAATTTTGGTTTGAGGAGACGCTATCTTTATACAAAAAAGACACTGAAATAAAATTCACAATGGAAAATGAAAGCTGTCGCCATTTTGAAACACATACTACAGAAGCGGATCGTAAGAAACGGAATAGTTCTTCGTGGATTATTATTTTTACAAAATAATCAACCGAATCTGTGGTCAAAGTGGTCTTCAAAACCGAAGGAAGGTAACTAACTCTTCAGGCCCTGAAAGTGCTTCTTTCAAACCTTCTACGACTCGAAGAAATAGTGGATGGTATAGTAACGAGAAGAAGGGTATTTTGAAATGTGCATTCCAGGTAGATACAGGGTGGCCATTTGAAAACGAAACAAAGCCTATTTTGGGGACCTCAAAACATCTACGAAAAAATACTCGGACCCGTCAATTTTTTATTCAAGGGGGAACAATTTTTTCGCTAGTTTCGCCCCCCTGAGGGCACAGCCCTAGCGGGGGTGACAAGCGCCCCCAACATTTTAAATCGAATGGGTGGTCGAGTGATTTTGAAGGTATTTTTATGTGGATTATAACCCTTAAGTTTTAAATCGCTACTAATTTGCCTAGCCGATACAGGGGCTAATAAATGTGTCAACATTTTCTTATGAAAAAATATTCGTGTAAATGAATTAGTTAAATAACAAAAATAAAAACAACAGTAAATACAAAAAATGTTGTTCTCCTACATTTTGAGCCGTACTTTTTGTTGTTGTTTTTGTTTCTTTTTAATACTCGTAAGTATATATACCTTTTCTGCAACGCAAATCTTGGTTATTGTTGAGAGCATTACTATAGCATCATTTTGAAGAACGAGAGAGGGATAATAAATAAATAAATAAATAATGGTTTATTCACTTGCTGAAATAATTTATCTTTTTTTGCAAACAATGAAAATGCTAATAGAACTGCCCAGCTCTTTAATCGACAACACCAGAATCGACAGGTCCATCGTATGTTTGGGCTGCCATTTTTGGTAACCGTATCGTAGGCCCCTTCTTTTTACCTGGAACTTTAACAGGAGAGATGTACCTGGAGTTATTAGAAAAGACGATTCGTCCAGTATTAGTGGAGATACTAGAAAATAACAACGACTACTTGGAAATAGTCTAGTATTTCAGCAAGATGGTGTGCCACCCCACTATGCTGCAAGGGTTCGTCAATATTTGGACCAAACGTTTCCAGGACAATGGATTGGAAGAAAAGGTGCTATTGCATGGCATCCTGGTTCCCCGGACTTAAGTGCGTTAGATTTTTCTTATGGGGCCATTTAAAAACTAAAATTTATGCTAGTCAGCCTACATCGTTAGACAACTTGCGACAACAAATAATTGACGAATGTCGTCAAATTACCCCATAAGTTTTTCAAAATGTACGGAAAATGTTTGAACAAAACCTTTATTATTCTATGGAAGTCGAAGGCCAACATTTTCAACATTTACTTGATTTAAAACTTAAGGGTTATAATCCACATAAAAATACCTTCCACATAAGGTATCACTCGACCCCCCAAAATTTTGGGGGCGCTTGCCACCCCCGCTATGGCTTTGGCATCAGGGGGGCGAAGCTAGCAAAAAAATGGTTCCCCCTAAATCAAAAATTGACGGGTCCGAGGATTTTTTCGTAAATGTTTTGAGGTCCCCAAAATAGGCTGTTTCGTTTTCAAATGGCCACCCTGTATAAAGGTACATTAAAAGTTTTTTGCTTTACCCATTGACTTGTTATATAGGGAATGAAACCACAACATCCCCAGCCTCCCAGAAAATGATAAGGAAAAAATTAGTTATAGTTAGTACTCATCAGCGAAATTTTAAAATGTTCCTGTGTATGAGTCACAGCCGTTTTTTGTAAACAGCATAAAAATAAGTTCATTTGTTCTTTTCGATCAACTATCCTGATTTTTCATACATAAAATAGTAGGAGAGCTGGTAGACATTTTTTGGTAGGTATTTGAGGCACGCTGAAAGCATGTCCAATACGTCTCGAATAATACCAAACCCCCTGGCTGAGGAATAGCGGAGCTAAATCAACCCGTATATTTTTAAATTTTACATTTTTTCAAAACATGTTCTTGAGGAATTTCGAATTTTTTATTACCCTAAAATTTGATACTTAAAGAACGAAAAAATCAATAGGTAAACCAGATCATTTAGCGGGGCCTTACGCTTTGCCAGGGAGGAAATTGGAAATCGTGGTTATCTAAGGTTGGGAACCTTCGTGCGGTTTGGACACATTTTTTGGTAAAGGTTGGTTATCAAGTTACAAATCGAGTAATTGGTTCTGACGTAGTGGAATTTGCAAGTCAGTGGAAAAAATCTGAAGAAGGATAACTTATGCGTTAGGAGATGGAAGGAGTCGAAGTATTTTAAGGATATTAAAACAATTTGAAAATCCTTCGTTTTTTGCAATAAAGGCCTCAGACTTGACTTCAAACACCAGCATCCCCCTTCGTTACTTTAGTTTTAAGTCAATTCAATTCCGCCCACGAATACTAACCCCTTTGGCAGGAAGCATGTATTTCTCACCACGCGAATTTAACACTTCTTTGATTTTACCATCAAACCATCAATAATAATGAACGTGCTTGTTAAAAGGCAACACATCATTTTAATCGAGCAATTTGTACAACACCATGCAATTCGTCGTTATAATCGCCTTCGTCGAAACTGTCGCTACCGAAAATCCCTGAATGTAATCAGAGTTTTAGCCCATCAAAAATGGGGAGCACACGCCAAAACACTACTTGACATCTACAAGACACTGATCCTATCTAAACTTGATTATGGGTGTTCTGTCTATTTGACATGTAACAATAAATCTTTA